CCCCCCCCCCCCCCCCCCGCCGACCAAAAAGGTTCGGCTTGAATAACCTTGGATCCATGACCCCCTGGACCAAGGTTCGGTAGATTGGGCGCTCTTGGGTTGGCTTGGCGTCTGGGTGGCTTTGACTAAGTTAGAAGGGAATTGGGGGATCTTAGAGTTTGTGGGCTGGCGTGGGCTCTGGGTGGCTTTGACTGACTTAGAAGGGAATTGGTGGATTTCAGAGTTTGTGGATTTAGGGTTTAGGCTTACGGGGCGGTTACGGGTTTAGGGAGAGTTTCGGGTGGTTTTAGGGTTTGGAGGGTGTTTTTTTTTGCCTCCCACCTTGCTCGGGGTGTTAGGCTTTAGGGTTCAGGGCTTTAGGGTTCGGGGGGGGGGGGGTCCAAGGTTTCAGGCTGAATACAGGGAGGTTGAGAGGAGGCTGAAGGGGGATTTCGACTCTCACACTGGCACCAGGCAGGCAAGGCTCCACACAAGGGGGATTTAAGGTTTGGGCTGAAGGGCGGTTTCGGCTTTAGGGAGAGTTTCGGGCTTCAGGGCCAGGGTTTTAGGGTTTGGAGGGCGGTTTTAGGTCGTGGCTGCTTCAAGATTGACCATTACTAGGAGGGAAGCAGGGCAACCACAAAAAAATCGGTCCCAAACAACAACGCACTAATTACGACACAAAATTTTTGGTCCCGGCTTGAATAAGAAAATTACATATTACGTATTACATACTACATATTACACTACATTGCGTTACGTTACGTACGTATGTACACGCATACGACACCAGGGGCTTGCCAGCTATGTAAAGCAGCTGTGAAAACCACTGCAGTCGAGTAGCTTGGCGGCATCATCACCGTCTGCGATGACCATGGCGTTTTCAGTCTGGAAAGCGCGTGGGAAACAAGCAGTTTCAACCGGTGAGAAACTGCCCGTAGACGACACGGTACGAAAACACCCGTTGCTTAGCCTGGCAGTAAGCAGCTAGGGGCTAGAACTCCCTCTGAAGCAGCAGCCCATTCCCTGCAATGCACGCCCAGTCCTTGACGCACCTGGCAAGTCGGGATATTTGCCACAAAGCTTCAGGATCATCATTTTGGGCTTAGGGTCCCAAACCCCTACGCCCTAAGCCACTAAACCAAGCCCTATATGATGCCTATATGAGGTGTGCTGACCAGGCGCTGGTAGGTGGACTGAAGCGCAGAGACGCGGTGGACAAAGCACTGCTCATCTGGTCCACACTTCTTCTTGCCGCACTGGGGGTTCCTTAGGGTTTTAGGGTCGGGGGATGCCCCACCAGCCTGTAGGGGCTCCTTGAAGGCATCAGTTTAGGGTTTAGGGTTATAGGGTTTCAAGGATTCCTTCGTGGCGTTTCCCTTTAAGGAGCTTATGGGTCTTGCTAGGGTTTCAAAAAAAGGGTGCCTTCAGCTGCCATATCACAGGGGGGAGTTTACTCCCTGCTTAACAACCAGGCACGCAAAAAAAGCTTCAACTTTCCAAGATACAGTAGATCTACTATAGGGGTAGTTCTCTCAACTAGGGGTCCCTTTTGGGGGTCCTGTTTCTAAGGGTGCCGTACTATTGGGGACTTTTCAAGACGGACTCGAATTTCGAGAGCTCCCCAAAGGAGGAAGAGTTTAAGGCTCTCCCGTTGGCCCCAAGCCCTGCCCTTAGCATCAAAATCGCCCAAAAGCCTTATATAATAGGGTCTTTGGGCCCTAAAGCCTTAAAATATGAGCCCTTTGAGGGCAAGGGCTGTCCCTAAACCCTAAACCTTTTTTTTTTTACCCAGACTCTGCTGATGACCCTAAACCCTAAACTCTAAACCCTTAAAGTGTAGAGGGCTCCAGAAGCCTCGGCTCGATGCACATGGCTACAACTCGAGATCGCGCACGTCCAAAGAGGGTAATGTCGGGGCCTCGAGGGTTAGAGTGGGTTTAGGGTTTAGGGGTTTAGGGGTTTAGGGGTTTTTAGGGTTTTGAGGGTTTAGGGTGTCTGTTGCATTAATACTATAGTAGAATAAGGAACCCCAAAGGAATGATACCGGTAGCTATTGAATCTTCTATATACATCTACTTGCACCCAAGCAGCTCTTCATCGACAATCTTTCCTTGGATGCGCAAGTGCCCTTTTTTTGCAGCACCCTCTTGCTGACAAACTCTTTGGTTCTTAGCAGGGAATGGGGAATGGGATCCCGATGATATGTCCTTTAAGGTCTCTATTTTCTGTAGTCCGTATAACACATCCCGCCCATTCCATTTCAAGAACCAGGGAGTAAATCGTGCGCCCGTGCCTGACTTTGCCGAGGGGCGAATGTCCCAGGGTTCACAGCCTGCGCTCTGGCTCTATGTACGGCTTTGGGGTCTACGGTTCAGGGCTCTCTAGGGTTTAAAATTCAGGGTTTAGGGTTCAGGTTTGTGCTCAGTGCTGATGAAAGGGTCCCGCTACGGCCGAGTGCTGCTCCAAGCCTCTCTCTTGTGGTCGCTGTTGTTTGTTCGCTTTCGCTCTCTCTCTCTCTCACTCCCGGGTTTTTCGAAGAGCCCGAAAGCAAGTCCCAGTGAGGTCCTACTGTGCCCTACAGCCAAACCCAAAATCGGTCCTAAACCCTACCTAAACCCTGCAACTACTGGATCCAAGACCCTCCACCAAAATCCCACAGCCCTACCTGGACCCTAAAGAACCTACCTTTTTTACGGTTCCTTATTAATTATTATGAACTCTTTATATAAGTCCTTAAAAAGGTAGGTTATTTGGGGTTAAGGAAGAACCTAAACCAGACACCCTTGGAAGCTCGCTGAGCAGGCAGGGAGCGCATCATCTCGTTGCAGCGGTACCAGGCATTCTTCTTCAGGTCCATGATCATGCGCGCTTCGTCCTTAGGATTTAGGGTTTAGGTAATTATGAAAGTCATTAGAGTCTAGGGGGGCTTCGTGAAAGGAGCGGTTCAGGAACCCTAAGCCCTGTAAATCCAAGGATCTTTGTCGTTGGTCGGCCCGTTGCAGTGGCCGTCTGGTGGCGCGGCGTTCTCCGGCTCCTTGCCTGGATCTTTTCCTGCCAAACAAGGACTCCATCAGGGCATCCACTGACAAGGCCTCATACGGCAAATGCAAAGCAGGTCCCTTCAACTGAATTGTGAAGCAGGGTTCCTGCACCGTCGTCTTTTGCAGGAACCTGTCACGTGCTCTGGACATCGCTAGTCTCATGTCGTGTTCTCGACAGGATATGCATCAGCGTTTCCCTAATCTTCTTCTGAGTCTGCACCTTTCGGCTTGGAGGATCCCAGGCCTTCTGAGCCTCTCCTGCGGCTTCGTCCGGAGGTGCACCCGGTGCCTCCTTCACCTCGCCCTGCTCGTCCCTCGGTAGAAGCATAACTTCGTCGGGCATTGAAACACTCCGCCCCTCCACGAATCGAAGTACACCGCCGTTCTACATATGTGTCTGTGTGTACATAAACATAAGCAACGCAAACAGTTAACAGTTAACAAATAAGACACATTCTCAAAACAATGTGTTCACAAAGGTACGTACCACACACACATGCACATGCACATGCACATGCACATGCACATGCACATGCACATGCACATGCACATGCACATAGTTACATGCATACATACATACATGCATGCATGCATGCATGCATGCATGCATGCATGCATGCATACATGCATACATGCATACATGCATACATGCATACATGCATACATGCATCTCATCTGTGTGGGTCTGTACAAACGTATACATGCACATGCAGTCTACTGCGCTCACACGTACTACGTGTTCTACACCCACATCCGAACACGGCATAAAAATTTCGTTCCCTCCTGAAGTGCTCGTACCAGGACTATCTTGTGACAGCAAGGGTAGTAGACTACTCCAGCTGCAGAGCGTCCTAGCAAGAGTGAGCCTCCTCTTCTGCCCC